GCCCGGCCGCCCCGCCCCCAATCCCCAAATACCGAAAAAAAAAAAAAAAAAAGGCTCAGAATCAAACATGATTCATCCAAGCCATCTCTGACTGCCATTTGTACAGCGTGCGTGTGTGTGTGTGTGGCAACACACTTGCGGGCACAATCGTGTTTTCTGCCGGTGGGTGTTCACGGGGTCCAGGTGGTTGTATACTGTCATTTTGCACCCGCAAAGCGCAACAGCACGGAGCATGTGAGTCATTTAAAAACAAAACAAAAAAAAAACCCAAGCAAAGCCTCTAACCTAAGGGGGTGAAAAAAGCCTTCTGCTGCTGATTTCTTTTTAAGTGGTAATATGACACAAATGAAAGCACTTGACCGGTCCGGCTGCAGTTTCTCATGAGCCCATTTGGGCCATAAATGCTCCTGATGAACAGGCAGACCACAAATCTGCTCATTTGGTCCCCAGGCTGGTGTTTTTCTGCCGCGGGGATGTCCATGACGTCATGGGGAGGGGTGATTTTTAGTTCAGCAATACCCCAAAAAATAATAATTTTGGGCGTATCATAAAAGCAGCTTCGAGATAAGCCCACCTTTCATGTTTTTCTTTCTTTCTTTTTTTCATGTCTCTTTTTCAAAGCCTGCTGCTTTTGTAAGTGAGGATGTTGCCTGCTGCGTCCAGGCTGGGGGGTGTTTTTGCTCAATTCGACAATCTCACCCACACTTCCTGCTTTGTGACAAATCAGCGGGCAGAAAAGCAAGCCCCTTCTGACTCTTTTTTCGAAAATAATAAATGAATTTCTGCTTTGAAACCCCGCAGGAAGTGTCACGTTGTTCTGAGTCAACGGAGCAGATGTCATCACGGGTCGTAAATAGATACAGAAAGGCCAACCGGTTGACATTTTGTTCTGTCCGATGTGTGTTCCTACTCCAACAGATGACCAGATTCTCCGATTAACAGTGATGTGCTTTGCTCCTTTACAGACTGTGTCAACAGGAGTCCCTCAAGGTACAATCCAAAGTACCCTCCGAGTGTGTGTTTCTTGCTGTAGCCACACCATTGGGGAAAAGGCCTTTGAATGTTTTCACTCCTGTTTCTCAGCTGTAGCATGTCCCGCCTCTGTTTTCTTGTTTCTATTTGTTTCTCCCCCCGAGTTGCGCTGCCATTATGTTGACAACACATTGGTTCCCAGTTGCAAAACATCATTTGACACTTGCTGAAAACGAGACCACCTCTGGTCCTCCAAGAGATGAATCTGCGGGGTTTCTGTTTTACTGTGCCACCCCCCCCACCCCCTTCGGCTTATGATTTATTCATACGCAGAGCAGAACATTCTACATTCCAAGAATTTACCCCCACAGCTCCAATCAGAATGATTGAAGCTAGGCAACGTGTACCGTACTGCGAATCCCACTCCCTCTGTTTTCCTTTAATTAAAAATGCCCAGTGGAATCTTTCTGTGCAAGAAATGTACACTAGAAAAGACGGGAGAGTGACAAGCAAGCTCTGACGCTCCCAGCATGCAAGAGCTCATTTTTTTCATGGCTGTTTCATTCATAATTCAAGACAGAAACTACAATGAAGATGCGGAAACGGACGTGGTAGGCGCTGATGGACAGAGCGACATATTTGACACTTTCAAAGCATCGCAATGTGATCTTCACAGCAGAAGGAATGAGCTTTAGATAGCGTTCAACCAAAATTCCTGGTACTCGAACGCACCGTGAGCCACATTCAACCCCCAGCAGTGCGTGTGCGCGTGTGTGGGTGTGTTTGAATAAAATTGGGTGTATTAGCGAGTGAGGACACAGCCTGCTCATAAAAAAAAAGTGTGACATTTGGTGCGCATTCACTCACCCACATAGAGACACACGCAAGTGCAAAAGGCACTTTCTTACGCGCACACACGCACACAGCTGCGTGTATTTTCGCATTTGGGCTGTGCAATTCCCTTCAGTTTTCAGCTTCCTTCTTCATACACTCATGTATTTTTCATAAATCACTTGTCTCACGTGAAGCTCTGTGTGTGTGTGTGTGTGTGTGTGTGTGTGTGTGTGTGTGTGTGTGTGTGTGTGTGTGTGTGTGTGTGTGTGTGTCCTGGTCAAGGTCAGGTTGTACACCTCGAGCAAGAAATTAGAGGTTTGGCAGTACAATGCACTGCAAAAAAACGATTTGCATTTTTGAGGGGCAGGGGCAATAATTTCAATTGGAGCAACTTTAAAATATAAATTATTGGCATTTCTGGCAGCGATGTTGGTGAGCAGAACAAAGCAAGCAAAATAATTTGCTGAGTTGTTTTTACTTATATCTTTAAGTTGGAGACACAAAAAGCTACAATTAGTTCTGTAAACTCTTTTTTTTTGTCAGCATTTCTTTCAGTCTTTCGCTCTGACTTCCTTTCTGCCTTTCTTGTAAATGAAATGTGACTATAAAGACCACATCCCAACCACATTGACGTCACCGTTTGCTACTACATTCCCCACAATGCAACGCGATCGTCTCTGGCTGTGTTGGCAGTGCAGTAGTGTTCAAGATACCTCGGACATTCATGTGTTTATTTGTGAGAACGCTTGACTTTTGCCGTTAACGGAAATGAAAGTAGCTTTTGGTTTGTTCCCGGCAAAACTAGTACAATATAGCTTAGATTACAATATCGTTATAGCGTTGAATGTCTTGCGTCGTATAAAAATAGGAAACGTTTCTTTTGGAACGATTCGAAAGGCTCTATAGTTTGAACAAGCCACGATATTGACTTACCATTACATTTAAAAAAAACTAAATAAATGAATGACATCAAATGAAAACACCACAGGCACCAAGTAGTCTCCATTCGAAGTGATACCGCGGAGTAGTAGCTGGATTCCCGATGACCTTGAACGCACCCAGCCTCCGTACCGCTACCAGCTGCGGCGGCTGTGGCAGCGGCGCATTCTCGCCTTGTAAATCCAAACAATGACTCCTACTACGGATCGGAGGAAAACACGCGAGTAGAATGCCTCTGACTGCACCGCTTTTGTCGCGATCGCCACGCCAAACTTAAAAGCACCCGCCGTAACCATGTGGATACCTACGGAGCAGGAAAAATACGGCGTCGGTAAGTTTATTGCGATTTTTTTTGGGGGGGGGGGGTTGTTGAATGTGTGAAAGTGCAATGCGCGTGGTGCGTTCAATGGCACGGTGTTGTTTGTCTTGGAGGAATGAAGCTGCAACTGATTCTATACTATGAGGAGGGGGGGATGCTTGTGTTTTTGTTTTCTTCCACCAAACAACAATGGGAAGCATCCGAGCTGATGATGAGAGCTTGACTGCCACATTGCAACGCATAGCGTTGTCGGTGTGGCCCCCCACGGGTTGCTAAATGATCTTAAATATTTATCTCGTGGACCCTTTTTGTTGTCGTTTAACATTTTTCACCCCCTCCGCCCCCCTTATTTTTCTAAATGAATCACTTTGGTGCAGATTTTGTTTCGTGGAAGAACCATAGATTCTCATGAAGATGCGTGCACACTGTGTGCATTGTTCCAGGTTGTGATTCAAACAGTAAAGTGAGACAAACAAGCCACCCCAAACCAAATGTAGGAAGCGGGGAGGCGGGGGGCGAGGGGGCTGCTGGTGTTGGTGTTGGAACACAGTCTTTTATTCCTGCTCGTGTGGTGAGAATTCCTATTTGCTGCCCTCTCCACCACCTCCACCCTCCTCCTCCTTCCTCTCCTTCTCTCCACCTTCTCTTCCTCACAATGACATGATCATTAAGATGTGAGCAAGTTAAATGTCTCATAATAATATTCCCCTGCGATCTTAATCTGCCATGTGGGAGTGATGCTCCAGTCCCCAGAAACCCCCCCCAACCCCTCTTATCAATTTAGATTTTTTTTTTTAATTCACGTCAACACGTTTGCTTCCTCCAAATGGTCCATCCTGTCCTGCTGATGCACTTTTTCGACCACCCTACCACCGTGACCTAAAATCGGCCAAGCCCAGTGAACTAGGAAGTACCCCCTGGCCTCTTTTTGTCGCCCTCTACACTGTGGACTTTTTTTTCCCGTTCAATCCCCCACCTCCCCCGAAGCTTTTTGGAATCGGCGCCAAAATCCTGCCTTACCCGTCATAGATCCTCGATCCGGTCTATATGATTCACATTTTAATTGCAGACTATCCAATTTGAAAGTACACTTGGACTGGATTAAAGGGAGGATATTTATTTTAAAAGGCTCGACAGTCACCATTGTTCCCCCCCAATACGACTGATAATTGGATTAAAAGTGCTCTACCCCTTTCCCTTGAGTAAGTGCGATTTAATTTCTAAGACATGCTTTGGGAGAAGAGCTCATCTTTTTTTTTTTTTTTGTTTTTGAGGAAGGAACCAGTGTTTTCCTGTTGCGAAAGGCCACAAAGAGACCTCTGAGGGGTTGTGCTGGCACCTCTGACGACTTCGCGGAATCAGTGTGCGCAGGTGACGAGGTTCACAGTTGTGCCGTGGATCAGTGCAAAAGGATCGAAACGGATTCCTGAAATCCTCCAGTTAGTTTTGTGCCTAACTCGACCCGCTGTTTTGATCATTTTAAGTTTCGAAGCAACAATATGTACAGCCCTGATCATTATTTTGCCCTTTGAATTGTCACTGAATAGTGTCTGTATTGTTGCTATGGGAACTTGGCTCACCTACTTGAGTGCGCTGTAATCTTGGTTAGACTGGCCAGAATGTCTCCCATGTTGTGTTAGCGCGAGCGTCCCTGCTATCGTGCTATCTTGAAGTCATTTTAGTGTTAGCGTCTTTTGTCTTTTAAACGTCCAAACATGCATCGTTGCTTAGCACACATTTACTTACCCAAACCCAAATTGGTGCATTAGAGAGATTTGTTTGAGAGACGTGTACACCCATACAGCCATAGATATGAATATTTCGATACGACACGCTCCTTTGGGGCCGTGTGTTTATGGTCTCCACTTTTGACCATAAGGTTCGGTAATGGGAAGAAACTCGGAATGCCTTTTACGGGTTTTATTTGATGTCAGCTCAAGATCAAAATGCCTCGCCGCTTAATTGGTTGACCGCGGTTTTGTTTGATGTCGATTCATCTCACCGACGCTGCCGTACTCGTTTGGGAAGGCCCGGGCTGCCGCCGTTGATGAAATATGAATGAACTCGAGACACGTTGGTATGAAGGCGGCCATTAGCCAACCAGTTGAGTGATGACTGTTTTTTTAACCGGTAGCTTAGAAGATGGATGAGAAAATGTTCATGGCTGATTGCGAACTTGACTTAAGCTAAAAGAGGGAAACGGTGTCATGTCGTGTTTCCGAATGCAAGGAGTCATTTATGAAATAAAAAATATCGGCTTTCGAAAGTCAGTCAAAGCGACATAGCGTCAGGTTATGCCTCAGACTCCTCCTCCCCTCATTAAGACACTTTGATAAAACCAATCAAGCGTGTCATTGCTCATGACAATGTCGACTCCTAATTCAAATATTTTAACGAGCTGGTTTGCTCCAAAGTCTCTGCGAGTTATGAACGAGGATTTAGAGGAGCAGCCACTTTCAAATCGAGGAAAAAGAACTCACCGGATTATTGCTTGTTTATCGCCGGGAAGGAGGGCCGATGTCGAGACCCCCCACCGTCCCTCCCGTGGCCCCCTCCTCCCAAGGGGGTGGAGCGGGGTGTCACTGAGGGTGCCGGCGCGTGTCAGGGGCGGGTTCATTGTCGCCGGGCACACGCCCTGCCCCGTTACCCCCTGGACTCTCCCACTTCGCTCCACTGGGGATTAGCAAGTTGTTTCGGAGCGGGGGCGCCCCACGGCCCATTCCACCGTTCTAGCCACGATTTCGTACTAAGGGCGAGGTATGGATTGGGGTTTAGGGGGAAGGGAGTGTGCCAAAGTGAAGCCTCCCTCTTTGTGATTGCTTCCTCGCCTGCCGCCTCATCTCCATCTGCAAAGATGGCGCCGCTTCGCCAACGCAGTCGTCAACATGGACCATGTGGCATGTAGGCGGCCATCTTGTCGAGTTGAACAGATGTTGAAAACATCCATCCATCCATCCATCCATCCATCCATCCATCCATCCATCCATCCATCCATCCATCCATTCTGCACCGCTTATCCGAGGTCGGGTGGCGGATGCAACAGCTTTAGCAGGGAAGCCCAGACTTCCCTCTCCCCAGCCACTTCTTCCAGCTCGTCTCGAGGGATCCCAAGGCGTTTCCAGGCCAGCCAGGAGCCGTCGTCTCTCCAACGTGTCCCGGGTCGCCCCCGGGGCCTCCCACCGGTGGGACATAACCGGAACACCTCGGCAGGTGGGCGTCCAGGAGGCGTGCCCGAGCCACCTCATCTGGCTGCTCTCGACGTGGAGGAGACAATTGGGGAAAAAAACAAATCAAATAACGAGCAATAACCATCCAGCCCACTATGGCTGCCCCTTGGTTCATGCGGACATGACACGGGCCATAATAGAAAGGCACAAAGATGTGGAAAATGTGGTCCAATTAAGCCAGGCTCTATTTATTTTGGCCTCCGGTTTGATTTCTATGATCAAAAAGCTTGCTTATTCAGATCTGTCAACACAAAGCTGGAAAGAGGAGGAGATGAATGGATTGCGGGGAATTCGATTGTGCCGCTTGCCACTTCTCGCTAGCTTATCCCCATTGTTGGCTGGCGGGGACACGGACGAGCCCACATGCAGCATTAGGCCACAGCTATGCATAATGTTATGACAGGGCCACCGGGGGTGGGGGGCAGGGGTACATTGGCGGCGGCGGCGACGCGGGCTTTCCTGCTTTTCCACTCCAGTTGCATCCCGGCTTGCTTTGCGGTCAGGGAGCCTCTCCCACCCCCCTTCGTGTTTCCCTGTTATAGTTACAGATCATATTTCACATTGGTGTTGACGTCAAGTGCTGGTTTCATTTTCGTGTTGCGTTTTTTTTTTTAAAGGCTCAAGACAACGGGCTTGGAAAAATAATCCAAAAAATTTGCAAGGAAATTCTAAAACAGCCTGCTGCGGCGCCGTTTCTTGATGTGTCCTGTTAGGAATTTGCCGGCCCAACCGATCTGTAATTCTCCGGCAGCGTTGCCGGCAGACGTGTTTGTCATCTGTGTGGGCTGATGGGGAAAGATGAAAAAAAAAAAAAAGATAACATCATAAAAATAGGGGTGTCTGCCGATGACAATCGCTATGATTGACAGGTGCGAGGTGCTGTTAACGTGCCGGGAAACACTTGTTCTTTGTATTAAAAAAAAAAAAAAAAAATGCACATGCTGCTGTGGTCTCAGTTCTCTCTCTGTTCCGTGCGGCTGTCATCTCGATGAGCCCGTGTTGACCATAAAGAAAGCGTACATTGAATTGTGGCGTGTGTGTGTGTGACCCAGTCTCATCGTCATGACCTCACGGCTGCCGTTTCCCCCTTCATGCCGGCTTCCGTCAAAGCGATTTCTGCTCAGCCACAAGTGAATGACGCCAACGTGTTCAATTCCTGATTCATACGCTCGCCCGTAGGGCGAGATGTCGCCGTGTGATATTGAGCATCCGGGTGTGTCCGTCGCCCCCTACGCGTGTTTGGAAAACCGCTTGAGTGTGCTGTGACCTCAATGGACATTTGGAGCAAATCGAGTCAATAGCAAATGTCGTTGAGCTCAGCGTGGAAGTTCAGTTTCACGACCGAACCGGCTTTGTCGGGATTCATTTCCGCTCGTGAGGCAGATGGAGGGCAAGGCCGGACAGGTCTCGGTCCCGATGGCGTTTAAAACCCGCTTCTTTGACCTTGACTCGTCGCGCAACCCGTCATGCCGCCTTTCAACTTTTAGTGGAGGAGGGTTGTCGGATCTTTGACTTCAAAGGGAAAACACGGGGGAACGTCCACAAAGCAAGGGCGTAATAAAAGGCACGCTTGGATGAATTTCGGGGAATGGACAGAAATGCAAAATGTTCCCAGGAGTGTTTTGATCGGTTGGTTGCCTTTGACATCCAGTAGCGGAGCAAAGTGTCTTGGATGTACTTGCTCCTGCGGGTTGCTCGCGAGCAGGCTGGAGCGGCATGACCCTTATCTCGCACTCTGCCTCTCCCCAGTACCTGACACTCCTGAACCCCGCCCCCCACCCCCCC